GTCGCCACTATTAATGCTTGTACATCAAAGCCATGTACCGATATTTCTAGACTGTCGAACGTCGGTCGCACCTAATATTAATCTGTTATTATTAATAAATATTGTGTATAAACGTAATAGAAGTGAATAAATTACCAACGCTGGGACAGGATGATCCTTGCATCATTTTTTTTATGCATTTTTTTCCAATTCTGTCATCACCCCTTCAGTGTTTCTACTGGTCAACCCCTTATAATAACGATTAATATTATAACATTAGTTGAGCCAAACGGATGTTATATTTCTTGTAACCAAGTTGTTCACAAACAATCCATAGTAGTCCCTTGCGTAAAATGCTTCGCATTTCCCATCAAACCCCTTCGAAGTTTGAATGTCAAGGATACACAATTACATTAGGCTCGAAGACTGTCGACAGTCTACGATATTGCTAGCCAGAAAATAAATAAAACAAGCCATGTCTGTAAACATAGGGTGCACATTATTTAAATACAAAAGTTTATTAGGCACAGAGCAACTGCCAGAGAGAAAATACAACTAAGACAAATTCGGCAAAGATATGAAGAATGCGATCTATGATCATGTTAAATGAGGCACTTTAGCAGAACGCGGACTTGTATTTAGATAAATTATATCATCGTTAATTGCATTAGATGCATGATGCAAAGGAGGGGAATGACAACAGTTACCATGGTAATGGTAACCATGGAAGCCGCAGACAAAGCTGCCGGAGACTGGCACCTGTGTTTTCCGTCACCGACTATAAAACAAAATGAAAATAAATAACGTTAATAAATCCATAATAATTATGCATGTATATAAAATCTTACTAGTTTAATAAACTATGTCATTATAAATGTTTTTGAAACATACACAAACATTAAAGTATAATTCAGCGAAAAGTACAAATACTCCATCAACTAGACATTTTAAATTTTCCAAAATGTAGTGACTGCACGTGTAATTTGGGTGTTGATAAGACATGTGACCATCAATAAAATGCACCCCAAATTTTAAAGGGTAGTGGTCGTCGCGCAGCGCATGTTCGAATGTCATGTAAACAATGTATTTTACACGCGTCGTATACGTCGCTATGAGTCCCACATCGAAGAGGACGCGGCGCGACGACCACCGCTCTTTAATTACGATATTTACCTATATATATATATATATATATATATATGATCTGATATTTACCTTGTTTCAACATCAACGCTTCACCGATGTTATTCTGTTTTGCAAAAGGACTCGGGAATATGGCTTTGGTCTGATTTCAGGTGGGCACATCACGGGGACACCCGACATGTAGGTATAGCGTTCAGAGTCTGCATCCGGGTCACTCTCGTTACCATACGTTAACCATTGGTGCTCCCATACCTAGAGTAATTTAGTCATATGTGTGTAAATATTTCCTCTAAGTATTTTCTTATGTTAGAACTGATGCTGTATTCGCATCTTGGTAAACACATTAGGGTATGATTTATCGTAATACACAACTCTAGTTTTGGCTGCAAACATAGCAATATACGTTAGATAAAATAATGAAAAACTGTAATGCGCATGCGCCACGGATTTACCTTTGCGTACTAACTATGTATTATGTTTGCAGACAAAACATTATATATATTTGTTTACGATAAATCATACCTGTTTTTTATCAAAGTGTAATTTCAAGGAAACTTTAGTTAAAGCGGAGGGGTTTCTCGGGAATCGTTCCAAGCGACGATAGCAACGCATATTGAAAAAAGCAAAGGCTATTGTTATTGCCGCCTGCCGCATGCGCAGATGACGACTCCCCCGCTTTAAAGGGGTCGTCACATGCGCATGCGTGGGAATTGAGTTCCCCAGCGACGATAACAAATGCATGCTAAAACACAAGCGCTCATAGGTAGACGCTTGTTTGTAAACAACGGCACGCCATGGCCGTTTTGCGCAGGTGATGACGACCCCGCTTTAATATACTGAACAAGCAGCGTCTCGGCTGAGATAGCTCCGCTGTTAACGATGCACATTTCAAATAAAGAAATCATCACAAAATGAACAAATCTGAGATCGGTTTACCCGAGATATTAAATATGTATAATGTCGAAGCAAGCCGACTTGCGTTTTTTGAAACTATCACCATGAAATAAACAAATCTAAGCGAGGTCTACCTAAGGTACATATACACTAAGTATCAAAGCAACCAGGCTTGTAGTTTAAAGAATAAACCGAAAACGTAAAACGACGGACGACGACGACGGACAATCACTCATATGATAAGCTTTAAATAACATCCAAAGACCATTGATAATGAGAATTCAGTACACAACCAATCATAATCATAGTTGTGGATTTGAACGACATTGCTTTCACTCAAATACTAGTGCGCCATTTTGATGTCACTAAAGCACTTAGTCGCTAGAGGGCGCTTCCACCCCAACCACTCTCGGGACTCTAAACTACTCGAACTTGCCTTGTGGTACATACAAAGGGTGCCCTCAAAATAAGACGACGACTTTAATGCGCTTGACGTCGAAAAGTTTTACCAGCCCAAAGTAAAAAAATCATATAGTGTACTTATAACAGACAGATGACAGTTCAACGATATAACAAAATGCACATCCACGTCTGCGGAGTGTATACAGAATACTTACGTAACAGAAATATTTGCCGGTGCTGTTATCGGCAATATGCTCGTCCTTGTTTCTGAGTATAACGTACTGAAGTTCCCTCCACTCCACACCATAATAGCGGTCAGTGAAATGGTAACGGTATGTATAATTTGACGACCACGTGGCAAGGCATGAAAAGTCACCAACATCTGTTGAATATAAATTGTTGAAATAATATAATAATATAATAAGTCAATATTCAAAAGTCAATATTCAAAATTACAAAAAGTGGTAGTTGGTAATGGCATAGATATTTTAGGGTCTATGGTAATGATAGTGCTAACTTAGCATTAATTAAAGTAATTAATATAAATCAATATAAATCATTAAGAGTGGTACTTGGTAATCGTAGCGATGAATGATGATTCAGATTCAGAATTATCAAAAGTGGTAGTTATTACCAACAAGTTGTAGTTGGTAATCGTAGTGATGAATGATGATTCAAAATTACCAAAAGTGGTAGTTATATCACCAACAAGTTGTAGTTGGTAATCGTAGTGATGAATGATGATTCAGAATTATCAAAAGTGGTAGTTATATTACCAACAAGTTGTAGTTGGTAATCGTAGTGATGAATGATGATTCAAAATTACCAAAAGTGGTTGTTATATTACTAACAAGTCATTGAAAATGACACAGTCCCCGTTAAATTTTTGAAAGTTCTCTTTGTGCTCGTCATATTAAAGCGGAGGGGTTGTCGCGAGCGTGTCCTTGAAACTTGAGTTCCAGGTGGCGTATACAACAGATTCTTTATTTACATCAAAACACGTGTTCCGTGTAGTAGTGATATGGCCAAAAACAAAAACAGCCATTATTCGGCCATCTTTGATCTGATTATGAAACACACTGATATGTACATGATGTATGTGCCAAATTCGAATGAAAATGGTACATACATTGTGGAAATATAGTAGTAAGGCCAAAAAGTCAGATGGCTGTCAATCGGCCATTCTTGACTAGATTTTGAAACAAATTGTCCTGGACATGCATCCTAACATGTATCAAGTACATGTTTGTGCCAAATTTGAATGAAAACTGAGCACGTCCAAGATACCGCATTAAAAAAACAAGATCCTTGCCAGTCGACCATCTTTGATCCAATTGCGAAATAAATCGTCATGGACATGTATCCTAACATGAATAATCTATGTATCAAGTTTAAATGACAACTGGCAAAGCATGTCCAAAATACAACATTTTACAAAAAACAAGATGGCTGCCAGTCGGCCATTTTGAATCGAATCTCTAAACCACTGCATGTGCATATGTCCCACATAAAGTACTAGGCACATGCAAAGAATGAACAGAATCGGCCCAAGGGATTCTGAGATATGTCTCCGGACGCACGGACGCACAGACGCACGGACGCACGGACGGACGGAGACCGAATTATAAGTCCCCGTTTTCGGACTTCGTCCGAACGGGGACTAACAAGTTGTAGTTGGTAGTCGTAGTGATGAATGATGATTCAGAATTATCAAAAGTGGTAGTTATATTACCAACAAGTTGTAGTTGGTAATCGTAGCGATGAACGATGATTCAGAATTATCAAAAGTGGTAGTTATATCACCAACAAGTTGTAGTTGGTAATCGTAGTGATGATTGATGATTCAGAATTATCAAAAGTGGTAGTTATATTACCAACACGTTGTAGTTGGTAATCGTAGTGATGAATGCTGATTCAGAATTATCAAAAGTGGTAGTTATATTACCAACAAGTTGTAGTTGGTAATCGTAGTGATGAATGATGATTCCGAATTATCAAAAGTGGTAGTTATATTACCAACAAGTTGTAGTTGGTAATCGTAGTGATGATTCCGAATTATCAAAAGTGATAGTTATATTACCAACAAGTTGTAGTTGGTAAACGTAGTGATGAATGATGATTCCGAATTATCAAAAGTGATAGTTATATTACCAACAAGTTGTAGTTGGTAAACGTAGTGATGAATGATGATTCCGAATTATCAAAAGTGGTAGTTATATTACCAACAAGTTGTAGTTCGTAATCGTAATGATGATTCAGAATTATCAAAAGTGGTAGTTGGTATCTGTAATCTTGAAATTATTCAACACTACAAAAAGGGTCGTGTCTACTATAGCCGAAATAGAAGGTATCAACCCAGGCCACCACATATATTGTGCCCCTACCTGAGTTAGCTTGTTTCCTAGCGCATCTACTGTAGTCGAAGTGGAAGGTATCGACATTAGTACAGCCGGCATCGAGAAATGAATCGAGTTGTGTACATCCGTCTAACTTGGGGTTGTAAACTTGAGCGCCATTGTCATGTGTGTGAGTGAATGCATAGTGAAACAGGGTGTTCAACGGGCATGCCACTGAGGTCGGATATTTAGCTGCAAAATACAGAGAAAGCGAAATATACAAGTTCTAAATCGCAGAAAATATTACTTTTTCCTTTACATGAAAATATAATGAAATTGAATAAAAACAATAAAATAATAAATAAAAACATGAATTATATAATATACAATTTGTAAAACTGATATTCTCGCACATTATTTTTAACTACTAGTAACACGAGTTTTACCCAGTGCGTCATAAACATATCAGATCTGACACCCATTATTTTACACACACATACCATATAAGGGAGTCCATCGTCCATATTTTGACATATCTGGAAGCTGGCCATCTTCGATGACGTCACCCTGACAGGAGGATGTGATAGAATATCCCCCATATTTCTGTGTTTGTGCGGCATCTGAACAAAATATTAATATGTTTGGACAGTGTAAGAATAGCGATGTCAAACAAAGGATACTCATTTTCAAGATTAATATATTAGCATATAGATTGATATAACTACTTTGCACAAGTTTGAGACTAGACATAAATTCAATCTGACCCACTTTAAAAGCAATCAACAATGTTGGAAAAGTGTTTTTGTGCTCGGCTTCAGTTACTGACATTGGAGACCTGGACTATAAATATCACATCGGAAAACGGGACCACGAGAAACCAGAACAACCCATTTTCGCCGTTACCATGATGAAGGTGAAACAAAAATTGAAATATTAACCACGATATTGCAATCAAGAAAAAGATCACAGTGACGTCCGCACGATACCAACACAGACAATCGCTTATAAAGGATGTTGATATCTTACTTACATTGCATCCATTCTATAAAGTTGGCACTGCGGTGAGTAAATACACTGCATATGTAGTTATTCACTTCTTCTCTGTATATGATAAAAAAACACGAATATAAGGAAATATTAAAAAACACCATATAGAACTGACGTACCGTATGTATGATTGTCTGTATACAATACACTTAATTTGTGTTTGGTGTCGTCTTCTATTAATATTGTAAATGACAACAAAGTATTTAGGAACAGTGCCCTCTATAGTTGTGTTTTGCTCTTTTTCAAAATGAAGAAGAAGTTATCAAAACACAACAATTCTGTCAAATTACACTAACTTTAATAAATTTATTTGTAAAATAATTTTATGATAAATAGGTGATTATCAAATTATTTTAATTTTTTTGTTTTCGTCATAGAATAAATAGCATCTCTTCGAATGCGAACAGAAATCTGCTCAAATTTGTATTGTTTTACAATTATTAGTTTTCATTAAAATTTGAAAAATAAAGAATATAGAACTTGCTTCACAGAGTGATTGAAAAAACACAAGTCATCAAACACTGTGTATAAAATACTTTCAATATAATGATAACATTTCAAATGTTATATGGTGACGTCACGGGCACGTGACCCGCATAAATGAGAAATTATAGATTACCTCAGAAATAAATATGACATCATACACTTACCTAAAGGGAGAAAAGCTTTTGACTGTGACGTTGGCAAGTAGGTAAATATTATCCCTTTTCTGGATGCATTTGATATTGCCGATAGATTGTTCGTAGAGTAGATTCCTTGGAGGGTGAATGGTTTTATTATCTATCCTGTATTCTCCATCAATCTGGTGTTTGCTGTCAAACAGTATCCAGTCTCCTAGCAACTTGCTATCAAATTTACAATCACAATCCACTGATACTGTGGGACAGAAATTGCGTCATAATATAACATTACGCCATGATTTAGCATTACGGACACAATTGGGTAGCAGATTTAATTGTATTTATGTTAAGGACCCGACTGTTTGTAAACTTAATTGAGCATGAGAATCTGAATAGCACAGACTCACGAACTCGATATATGTCTCGATAGTAGTGAGGCGATAACTCTATTAAACGGATCGTGGCTGGCGAAGACGGGAAATACGTGACAATATTTGAGAATAATTATTGAGAATGAAAACTCTTGCCACGACAGGGTTTGACTCTTCGATGGGAACGATGTCATTATGCTGATGAGTTTCCCGGGCCGAGTTTCAAATAAAAATATGAATTTGTATATTATCTGCATTTTATCGAGGCCCTAACCTGACTCTGTCCAAGATTTTCTTTTTAATTCAGAGTCCATTAACAGCTATTGAAAATTATTCTAATATCAAGTGTATGACTATATGTCTCAATGGCTTTGATGCTCTAATAATTACTAGTGACTTCGGTGAGAGACACACCCACGGCTTAATATTTGTTTCTAAATATTCATCTTAATAATTTGTGATAATGTGACGTAATAATGAAATCATGAATATTCATCGTTTGCCTTCATTTTATACACATCATTATGTTGTCTAGAATTTATGTGTATTATAAACGTAAACATAATCGCTATGTAACACGATCCCTGGGCAGTAACCGCTCATGCTATATCCGGTATGTAGCCTGGTAATATTCGATGCATTGTTTCAGTAGTTTTATCCAGCACATGTGGCCAATATGACCCAAAAACGGGCGTTGGCGTGGCCCTGAGTTTGGAATACCACTGAAAGTCACGCCTGAAATTGACACACAATAACTTGATAAAGCTAAGCCTTTTAAAACCCATAACGAAACTGCGAATAACAAACTGTAGAAGACTTAGAATGACTTATCATCTGATATAACCACTCTGTTTTCCCATAAATCACGCAGTAATGTTTATATTCACCAAAGCACGGAATACATTGCCTATACATCGGTACATAATAATTCAAGACATACTTACCGCATAGTAACACACTAATTAACAAGAACACGAGCATACGCCTTCCATTCGCCATCTTTTCCTTGATTAATGATTATTCTCGCCAACTGCGAGATTTACACCGCATCAGAGTCCAAAACATTCTTGACGTATTACCAAGCGTTTTCGGAATGCATCAGTCATCTGAACCCCCGTTGTGAATTCGAATCACTTCGTGTCTTGTTCTTGTCTTGAGGGCGTAATTTGATATTTGATGCGGTAATCAACGAGATATGTCTTCTTAAGTTTCATCAATCACAAACATTCCATTCAGTATACACGGCGTTGTGTATTTAAGGGACCAACCAATAATTATTTTTGTTATCAGTTATCAGTTAATGGACAAACTGGGTATAGTAGACAAATACTAGCGCTCAACCAGCAATAAGAACTGGGCATTGATACTGTACAATATTATCAGATTGTACCGCGCCCAAAACAGATTTTTTTGGGGTGTAATTAACCTTAGGCAAATGAGCAGTTGGGATAATGAACCTTAGATTTCCAATCACTGGGTGGTAGTCGATATCTGACAAATGCTTAGTCAATATTTGTGTGTGAAATTTAACATAACACAACATGACATAACATTGATTGTTACATGACAGTCGTCGTACCGCGTCCTGTTCGATATGGGACTCATAGCGGACTATACAACGCGTGTATAATACATTGTTTATTTACACGAAATTCGAACACGCGCTACGCGACGACCACCGCGCTTTAACTCTTCCGGACACACTTTTACATATATCTATATTTATTCATGTATGTAGTATAACATGTACAATAACAGGAATTTAATCAAGTTACAAAAACTTGAATAGAGAGCGGTCCTAGTGTTGGGACCCGGATTCAAAATATCCTTCTAATTACATTTTACGTGACCTAGAGGGACATTTCACACGCACGCCTACCTAAACGGAGTGTTCAAGAATATAATCCACGTGACAAATAACAGAAGGAAAATAAATCACTTCTATTTTCGGTGATTTTGTCATGCAGCTATAAAATAAAATTTCAGCATTGTTAATTTTTAACAAAGAGTGCGCCCTCTCTGGGTAGTTACGGATATGCAAACTATGATCACCGGCCAACTAATCGGAGAGGAGAAAAGAACACAAATGATTTCAATGTCTTTATAATACATGCAATGCATAAACTTTACTTGATTATGGGACAATTCGAACTGGGTGATTGTTTGACCCTTTCCAAATGCTACAAACTTGCAAACCAGTTGATCATGAATCAATCGTGTGTTTACGTCAAACCTGGTGTCTTGCTTTTATGGGGAGGACCATTTGATATCCTGGGGCGCCAGGAAGATTTTGTGAAAAAAATCTATGACTATGCTTGAAAAAAAAATCCTATCTGAAACTTTCATACCCCCAAAAAATCAAGACAAGACAGGACAAACAAATTGTTTTTTATTGACTCTTTCCCCCAACAATTTCATCATCTATGTTGTTTAACAGTTCTTTCACAATGACTTTCTGCTGTATTTCTGTATAAACTGTCTCTAACAAGTCATTTATTATCGATGGAGTAGGTGGATTGACGAACATCTCACCGACTGAGGGCAGTATTGCATTAGCTAACTAAATACGTAACAGATGTATTATTCCGTGTTAGAATATTTCAGGTATGATCCTGATAGAAGTAAACACAGAACAGAAACAATATTAGAATACGAAACTGAATACGAAGAAAACCTATGTCGATACAGCACTCAAATTTATCCGTAATTCGACCATTCACTAGTGTGATGGTGCTGTTTCGGGTTCTTTGTTGAACCCTTCATCAGTCGGAACAGCACTTGACCGAATCGTTCGATTTATTTAGCTTTCAGAATGTTCGACGTTATTACTTTCATTATACAAATTAGTATAAACATCCATTAATTCCAGATTGTACATTTCTGTAACGAGCTCATGGATCGAATTCATTGTAACTATAGTATCGTTACCACTAATTTTAGTATAGTATTGCTCGTTGTTTAGATGACGAAGGCTGTCCTATATATAGTCAGTTGTATCCATGATTGCAATGCCACGACCTTTCTCGAATGGTTTTATTACAATTGTGTTATCATTTATCGCTGCTCTTTCAGCAAAATTCATGTTTTGTTTGGGTTTATTGGTAGTAATTTTGGATATCTCAACTTTGGATATCTCAGCGAGTCTGGTGGGTTCCATGTTGGTTTCATTTTGAAAGGATGTTGTTGAGATTGTTTATTACGCATTAAATATTTGTTACGCATTCTCCTAGATAGCATAGACATGTCTCTGAGCAAAGTGTGATAGGTTGGCTTAGATGGGGTTAATATAAATTTGAGTCCGTTGGCAAGGGCAATGACCTCTGTTGGGATTGGAATTTTACTCGAAAAATTCCGAATAAAATTTGAAACCAACTGAGCTTTATCAGCCAACCGTTTATTTTCAGCCAGTTTTGCATTGTAATTCTTTATTCGTTTGCATCTTGCAATGTGTTTCTTACGTAACAAATAAATAAATGTCAAGTAGTTTAGTGTACTGTTTAGAAGCCTGGTTTGGAAGACAGTGGTTTGGAAGAGAGAAAACATACAGGAGGTGGACTGATAGCAAAACCTGTCATGATGTTAAAGAGGGCTATTATACAAGTCATCTACTTTACTTGAAGCGGGGGGGAGGGGGTCGTCACCTGCGCATGCGTCAGAAGGCCATAGCGTGTCATTGTGTACAAACAAGCGCCTGCCCATGAGCCTTTGCGTTTTAGCGTGTGTTGTTATCGTCGCTTTGGACTCAACTTCCGCGCGTGTGCAGGTGAAGACCCTCCCGCTTTAAAATACTGAAAAAAATAAAAACAACTGTTGAGCGCAAAAAAAAAAAAAAAAAAAAAATAGAGACAAGGTCTGCTGAAAAAAAATTCCATATCACCATATCACCATATCAAGTATATCATTTCAATCTTCCTGCCCCCCCCCCCCCATGATATCAACTGGTCCGCCACTTAGAAGGACGCACTCATTATGGAATAGGCAAA